ACCTAGCACACTATTCCTCAGTCACTGTCCCTGTTTAGGAAGTGTTTGCTGAATGAATAGATGAGAACAAATGAATGAATGAACCAACAGGGCCCAGAGGGCCTGGTACCCCTGGGAAGCCCCCCCAACATACACCTTATTCTCTTGCAGGTAATAATGGTGACCACACACCCTATCTCCCACCCACCCTGAGCCGCCAGGCACTGCTCCATAACAGAACCATAACAGAATTGTCATGCTCAAACCCAACCAGCTCTAACTGCTCCCACACAGCATGTGCTGGGCTTCAGGACTGGCACTGAGTGCTGGGACTGGTCCCTCCCCAGGCTCTGGCCTGGAAAGCTCAGCTCTATATGCCACAGGGTGCTTAAGCTGAGCTCATGCCTATTCCAAACAGGAAAAACTCTTCAAGCCTTCTGCTTCCTTCTGGACCAAGCTGAGGTCAGAGAAGCAGGACCGTTGCCCAGGAGGTATGTGACAGGATCCTGCAGGCAGCAGGCCAGGAAGCAGACCTCACGGGACCAGCCACACAGAACTGCCTGAGGTGGAACTCAGGCCTCATGAGCCCAGGCTGCTGACGACAGGATGTCCCATGATTGGAACAACTGCTGGACAGTCCTGGCATCAGGATAGTGACACCCTCCAGAGCAGCCCATACCTCCTCCCAGCCCATCATGACAGAATGGGCTGAGAATGTGGGATCTGATCAGAGCACCAAGCCTGCTGAAATTTCCTTCCTGTAGCCCTGACTGCCCACACTGCACATCACGAGAGCAAGCCACCATGCTGGCCTCCGCCTGTCACAAGGCCACCACACTTCATGGTGGCAAATGGGTTTTCATGCCTGTTAGCTGCCTCCAAGAGCACAAGAAATAGGGGAAGTGTGATCATCATCCCTGTTTGGCATACAGAGAAATCAAGGCCCAGAGAGAGGAAACAGGGATCCAGCCTGGGGGCTTGACACATGCCTTCTTCCTCTGACTTTCAAACAGCACTGGGCAAAGGGCCTGTGCCCAGTTTGTGCGTGAGCAAAGACTGGATAAAAGTAAGGGTCATGTCAGATGTCACTGTTAGCTTCCATATGGTCCTCCAAGGTTGCCTCCCCCAAAATACCCCTCAAAATGTTCACTCTGACCTCAGCTCCCTCCAAACTCTTTCCTAAGCAAGTGAGGAACAAGAAATGTCCTGTACGCGTCACCTGTCACCCAACAGAGCTGCTACCTTCATCCAGCACCCACTGAGCACCAGATGGCCCACCAGTGTTTAAGGTGAATTACCACACTTAATCCTCAAAACACCTGGAGAAGGGACAGTTCCACCCATATTACACACAGGAAACTGGGCCACAAGGTTATATAATTTGCCCGGATCTGAACCCAATTAAAAGGAATCCAGTGCACCAGCTCTGAATCCTCAAACTGCCTTTAGAAGAAGTCTGAATGGAAAGGGGCTGAGTGAGGCTTGATTTTTAGTATCTTGTGTTCCAAAAGCCAAGGCCCTCATCTCAAAATGTGCTGCTATTCACCTGAGCCAGGGCAGAATGTTCTTTCACAAATCTCTTTCATTTGTTCTACTTGGCTGGACCATGGCTAGAAGCGAACTGCCCCCAGAACTGCTGCTGGAGTTCCCAAAGACATGAGGCATGGGTAACTGGGAGATCTTGGGGCTGGTAGCATAAAACTGGGGTGACCCATTTTATGATTCACTCCACAGTATTTGCTGAGGACCTACTTTGGCAGGCATTGTTCTAACTACTGAGGATACAATAATGAATAAAACAGACAAAATGCCTGCCCTCCTGGAATTTATAATTTAGAGAACACTAAATAATAAAACAAGATAGACTACACACACACACACACAAAGATTTTAGATGCTAATTAACTTCGAAGGAGAAACATCAACTAGAGAACGGGCTAAGAAGAGGTGGAGACTGAAATTTTAGAATGGTTGACCAGGGAAGTCCTCACCAAGAACTTGACATTAAATACCTGAAGTCAGAGAGGTCAAAAGTCATATGGATATCTAGCTGAAGAGCCTTCTAGGCAGAGGAAAGTGCAAGTGCAAAGGCCCTGGGGCTGGAGCATGCCTGCAGAGTTCCAGGAACAGCAAGGAAGCCAGTGAGATCAGGGAGGTAACAGAGGGCCAGACACATGCAATGAGAGGAAAAGCCATTGCAGAACTTGGAGCAAAGGGACAAGGATGTAAAGGGACACAAAGAGGGGCATTAGGAATAATCTCACAGCATTGGCCTAAGTGAATAATAAATACTGCCATCTCCTAAGATGGGAAAGAGAATGGAAGAGACAGGTTCCAGTGCAGGGTGGAATAAGGGATGGAGGGATGACTGTCATGAGGTCAGCTCTAAATACTTTAAATCTGGCTCAGCACCTGTAGCTCAGCAGCTAGGACATCAGCCACATACACTGGAGCTGGCAGGTTCGAATCCAGCCCAGGCCTGCCAAACAACAATGAAAACTACAAAAAAAAAAAAGCCAGGTGCTGTGGTGGGCGCCTGTAGTTCCAGCTACTTGGGAGGCTGAGGCAAGAGAATTGCTTAAGCTTAAGAGTTTGAGGTTGCTGTGAGCTGTGACGCCACAGCACTCTACCAAGGGTGACAAAGTAAGACTCCGTCTCAAAAATAAAATAAAATAAAAAATAAATAAATACTTTAAATCTGAAATGCCTGAGTTTGAGGTACTTAATCTACAAATATATATCTAAGTCTATCATTCAGGGAAAGGTCTGAACTGAACTGGGGCTATACATTGGAGTGTTGTCAGAATAGAAATGGTACTTAAAGCTATAAGACTGGATGAGGTCACCAGAAAATGAATATGGAAAAAAACAAGAAGAGGCATTTCAGGCATGGCTCTATTAACATCCCCACCATGAAAAACACAGAACATGTTCTCCCAAGGAGCCACCCTCAACAAAGTGAAGCTCATAATCCATCCTTCACTACAGCCCCCCACCTACCCACTCCCCCACAACCCACACCCAATGCATGTGTGCAGACACCACAGACACACACACACACAAACACACAGGCAGCATTTAAATTCTTCTTTCTCCACCTCTTGGTGATGTCACTCTGCCGAGTGAGAAGAAAATTCCCTTTTGGGAATATTGTCATCCAACAAGACAGTAACCTCTGGAAGGGAGAAAAACTGCCCTGGGCACTGAGACAACAGCAGCAAACCTTACACAGCAGGGCGATCACATGGGCTCTCTGTATTTGGATTCCAGCTCCAATCTCATCAGTGCGATCTCAGATAACCCATATGCTTGCTCTTCCTCATGTTCAATGGGAACAACATTGGCTGCATCATGGGTAGCCTAGAACATGAGGACAGTCACTTGACATTTGTTGAATAAATGACTGAGAGTAGGGCACTGGCCCCACATACTGAGGGTGGAGGGTTCAAACCTGGCCCTGGCCAAACTGCCAACAAAAGAATAAATGACTGAATGAAGGGTAAAGATAACATACATAAAGGTCCTGACTCATATAGAGTGTGATCAATAACCACTGCCAAATAATAAATGGAACACAATGCACCTCCTATTTACCTTTCTCTCCTTCCCATCTCATTCTCTTTCCCTTTCCATTCCTTTGCCATGCTGTCTACGACACAACAGCAAAATCATGCATTTGTACAGGGTCACAGTGGTTACAAAGGTTTGCCTTTTACATTTTCTCAAATTTTGAAACTCATGGCAGCTGTATGGCAAGAAATATACAGCCCCTGTCGCAGATGAGGAAACTGAGACTTGGACAGAAAATACCCTTGGACAAAAAATTCCTCCAGGAATATTTTAAGGCAGAGACAATAATGAAAACACTGCATTCAGGCTCAGTGCCTGTAGCACAGAGGTTATGGCACCAGCCACATACATGGAGGGTGGCAGATTCCAACCAGGCCCAGGCCTGCTAAACAACTATGACAACTGCGGGTGCCTGTACTCTCAGCTACTTGGGAGGCTAAGACAAGAGAATTGCTTTAAGCCCAAGAGTTGCCCAAGGTTGCTGTGAGCTGTGACGCCACAGCAGTCTACCTGAGGGCCACACAGTGAGACTCTGTCTCAAAAAAAAAAAGAAAGAAAGAAAAAAAGAAAACACTGCATTCAGCACAGGGGTGGAGTTTCAATGTTGCCAAACCAAACCTGCCTGACATCCTGTTGGGCAGGCAGGCGGCAGGTGAGGGAAATACCCCGAAGCTCCAGGGAAGGGAAGGTATTTGTTTGGGGTCATGTGAGTAGCCCATTAAAAACATGGGCACAGATCCCTGAGCTCTGTGCCGTCCCAGTCCCACACCCATAGGCTTGCCCTCAGCCAAGTCACATGGTCACCCAGGTCACATACTCCCTGTCACCAGCTTCCAGGTCATCTGTGGAAGTAGGAGGTGGATACAGGATTGAAAATTGGGAAACTCTGGGGAGACATGTGAGGGACAGGTCTAGATGAAATCTAGAGGCACTTGAGAGAGGAGCAGGGAGTTAGAAACGGGAACACAGGAGCCACAAAAGGAGGAATGCAGAAGAGAGACGGAGGTGAAGTGGGAGATGGGAACACACTCGAGGCGGATAATTAGAAGCACTTCGAAGAGCACAGGAAAGAAGCCGGGGCAAAAAAGGACCCCAGAGTGAAAGTTGTTGGGGGTGCTGAGAGGCACAGTTTAGAGAAGGGGGAAAAGGGGTTGACTCAAGAAATTAGGGATACTGAAGGAAACACACGGAGGAGACGGGATTCGTGAGGAAGGACCCGAGGTCTAAGAGGAAAGCGGTTTCGGGTTGGGAGTTGGGGATGTCGGGGAGGATCAAAGGATGGAAACTGGAGGTACGCAGGAGGTAGCACAAAATCAATGGAGGACATGCCGCAGAAACGAAGGCACGAGGAAGGTCAAAATTAGGGTCCGGTGGAGATGTTGGAGTCTGGGGCACCTAAGAGGTTTGGGAAGGGACCCCCAGGTCCCATGGCCCGCTGCGAGGTCACTCACCTCGGCTTACTCAGCACTTCTACTTGCTCCTACTTCCGCAAACAAACGAGCCCCGCGCCACGTGACGAGGTGGCCCGAGCTCTCCGCCAATCACTAGAGGCCGTCTCCCAGGCCTCGGCTATGAACCCGCCCCCGCGCTCCAAGCCCTGTGTGCGAGAAAGGGCTATGGGCGGGGCTCCGCCATCTTTTATAACTGCCCAATAGAAGGAGCTTCTAGAGCCGAGGGGGGAAGGGCTTCGGCGGGAGCCAATCCTCGGGACCCAGCGCGGCCATGTCCCTGCGGGGCGGAAGATCCACAGAACGGCTCCTTGGCAGACATGTTGGTGAGGGGCAGGAGTCTCACCTGTGTTCACTTTCTGCCCACTAAAGAGGCTTGGAGTGTGAATTTAACTTTTTTTTTTTTTTAATTGAATGGTAACTATCTACATTAATGCACTTCTGGGGTACAGTGTGGTGTTTTCACTTACAATTTGAAACATTTCCATCAAACTGGTTAACATAGCCTTCATGTCATTTTTTTAGTTGTGTTAAAACGTTAATATTCTACTTTTAGAAAGATTCACTTGTACCCTTGTAAGACAAACCACAGAAGTGATCCTTCCAATCCCCCTCCCTCCACCCATTTCCCCCTTCCCTCTCCCTCCCTGCTCCCCGTATTCTTAGGCTGTTATTAGGTTATAGCTTTCATATAAAAGGTATAAATTAATTTCATAATGGGGGTGTGTACATTGGATACTTTTTCTTCCATTCTTGTGATACTTTGCTAAGAAGAACATTTTCCAGCTCCATCCATGTGAACATGAAGGACGG